ATTTTGGTTATTAAAATATAACTACTATTCTAAATCCATATTTACTTCAGTTTGATTTGGTTTATATATTGGTTTTCAGTTTATTCAATTTTATACCAAAATACATCATTATTTAGTTTGAAATCATATTATATATTATAAAAATAAATAATATGATCATATTTAGAGTCATATTGTCAAAAAGTCATTTACTAAAAAAGGTATTATATATTTAACTAAAAGAATAAAAAACAAAAAAAAGGCTTCTATCATCTAATAAAATGATCAAATCTAGAATTAATATCAAATCTCTAAATTTTGAAAATAAAAATAAAAACAAAACAGAAGCATGAAAGAAAAGTTTTTATATTCTTCCATATTTAGTGTTCATCAAATTAATATGTCTTCGATTGAACACAACTCTGTTTGTTTAAAGATTAAAAAAAATTGTAAAGAATTTCAACTATTTATTGTCCATAAAATTTATAATTTTTACTACAATTTAGTTTTTGTTAAAAAAAAAAGATAAAAAAAAGACGAAGAAAATAAGAAGCCTCAAATGCATTAAATTGTTACTTAATTATATTTCAAGTGATTCAAGTGATTTACAAATCATAATTATAGTTCAACTCATGTAACAAATAGATATACATATTTACATATTTCAGTTTAATCGATTATAAATCAAACCATATCCAAATCTTAAGGTTTTTATAAAATCACATACATTCGGTTTGTATGGTATATACCAAAAATAACCATATTATCGATTGTGTTAATATCTTTAAAAAATAGAAAATTAAAAAAAAAGAACTAATATATTTAAATCATTGATAACAAAATTTTGAATGTGAAAAATTTAATACGTTTATAATTTATAAATGTTCTTGAAAATTCATTGAAATTTTTGAAATTAAAATAAGTATGTAATCTTATATGGTATATAGTTTAATCTATATATATATATATATATATATATATATATATATATATTTTATTATTGAATGATACTTTTTACTCATATGGTTTTAAAATCATGTGTATTTTTATAATAAAAATGTTAAACTATTGATCATTAATTTTTAACATAATAATTTTAATAGTTTTAGTCGTTTATTCTTGGTTTTTTAAATTCAAAATATAACATATACGAAAATAATCTAAAGTTTAATTTTATAACTAATTTGATTGTTTGATTTATTTTAATAATATAAAATTAAAGAAAAATGATGGAGGAGATACAAATTGTTATCAAATATTTGTTATTAGAAACATTAATTGTCATATATATATATATATTTGTCATTTATGATAATTCCGTAGCTTTTATTTAAGGAAAGAAAATAAAATAGTAATTATATCTAGCAGGACAATCATAAATGCTTCTATCATAAATATCATATCATATAGTTTGACCAACAAGTATATCAAGCGACATATAAAAATCGAATGTGGACCTACTTATTTTTCAATTGAATGTAATTGACTACCTAATTGAGTGACACGTAAGCATGTGCTCTTTTTAATTATTACAAAATTGAGGTTACAAATTTTCAAATGTTTCTCAATTAATATATAGGGGATTTGATAGCAATTTGTATCTCCTCCATCATTTTTCTTTAATTTTATATTATTAAAATAAATTAAACAATAAAATTAGCTATAAAATTAAACTTTTGATTTTTTCCGTATATGTTATATTTTGAAATTAAAAACCGAGAATAAATTACTAAAACTATTAAAAATGATTATGTTAAAAATTAATGATCAATAGTTTAAAATTCTTATTATAAGAAGATACACATGATTTTAAAACCATGTGAGTAAAAAGTATCATTCAATAATAAAACACACACACATATATATATATATATATATAGATTAAAATATATACCATATAAGATTACATAATTATTTTAATTACAAAAATTTCAATGAATTTTCAAGAACATTTATAAATTATAAACGTATTAAATTTTTCACATTGAAAATTTTTGTTATCAATGATTTAAATATATATGTTTTTTTTTAATTTTATATTTTAAAAGATATTAACACAATCGATAATATGGTTATTTTTGGTATATACCATACAAACCGAATGTATGTGATTTTATAATAACCGTAAGATTTGGATATGGTTTGATTTATAATCGATTAAACTGAAACATGTAAATATGTATATCTATTTGTTACATGAGTTGAACTATAATTATGATTTGTAAATCACTTGAATCACTTGAACTATAATTAACTAACAATTTAATGCAACTGAGGCTTCTTATTTTCTTAGTCTTTTTTTGATCTTTTTTGTTTTTTTAATAATAACTAAATTGAAGTAAAAATTATTTTGATGGACAACAATTAGTTGAAATTCTTTACAATTTTTTTTAATCTTTAAAACAAACAGAGTTGTGTTCAATCGAAGACATATTAGTTTGATGAACACTAAATATGGAAGATTTCTTTCATGCTTCTGTTTTGTTTTTATTTTTATTTTCAAAATTTAGAGATTTGATATTAATTCTAAATTTGATCATTTTATTAGATGATAGAAGCCCTTTTTTATTTTTATTCTTTTATTTAAATATATAATATTTTTTTTAGTAAATGATTTTTTGACAATATGACTCTAAATATGATAATCTTATTTATTTTTATAATATATAATATGATCTCAAACTAAATAATGATGTATTTTGGTATAAAATTGAATAAACTGAAAACCAATATATAAACCAAATCAAACTGAAGTAAATATGGATTTTACATAGTAGTTATATTTTAATAACCGAAATACCGAAATCCGATATCCAGATTGAACACCCTTAATCCAGATGAAACCGAACTTTTGTTTCATTTTCCAAAACATAATAACTTCATCTCGCGCAAGGCGCGGGTCTTATCCTAGTTATATATTATTTACAAAGTGATTTTGATATGTGTCATCACTACAAATCAATTTTACCAAAAAAAGATGATATGTCCACTAATAATGATGACATGTTTTATAGTTAATTGTGACATGTATATTTACATTTAAT